CTTCACAGAGAGAGTTCAGGGTGTGTGCGAACAGTGTCAAATAACTTTCTGAAGCATCCTGAAAGACGTTCCCTCATAAAAACATGGAAGTGAAGCTCGTTAATGGATTAGGCTGCGTCTGAAGGCCACTTTTAACAGAATTCCCACATATAATGAGCCACATGATGCTTCCCAGATACATGGAAATATACGCATGTTTGACATAAAAGGTCATATTTGGATTTCACACACAGCTGAAGTCAGAATTATTCACCCTCATGTTCAATTCTAATTTCTGTTTAACGGAGAGAAGATTTCCAACACATTTATAAACATGATCATTTTAATCACTGATTTGTTTTCTCATTGTCATGATGACAGCACATAATATTAGTCTAGATATTCTTCAAGACACTTCTATACAGCTTAAAGTGACATTTAAAGGTTTGACTAGGGTAATTAGGGTAACTAGGCAGGTTAGGGTAATTAAGCAAGTCATTGTATAACGATGGTTTGTTCTGTAGACTATTCAAAACAAATGTTGCTTAAGGGAGCTAAAAATATTGACCTTAAAATGGTGTTTAAAATATTTACAAATGCTATATTTAATAGTATTAAATTGCTTTATATGAAATGGTTATTTTTGCAATAGTTGAAAATATGTTTCATGTATGAGATTTTATATACACTCAGCGGCAACTTTATTAGGTACATCTCACTAGTACCGGGTTGGACCGCTTCAGCTTTCAGATCTGCCTTAATCCTTGTGTTGTAGATTCAACAAGCTACTGGAAATATTCCTCAGAGATTTTGCTCCATGTTGACATGATAGCATCACACAGTTGCTGCAGATTTGTCGGCTGCACATCCATGATGCCAATCTCCCGTTCCACCACATCCCAAAGCTGCTCTATTGGATTGAGCTCTGGTGACTGTGGAGGCCATTTGAGTACAGTGAAATCATCGTCATGTTCACCAGTCTGAGATGATTGAGCTTTATGACATGCTGCGTTATCCTGCTGGAAGTAGCCATCAGAAGATGGAGACACTGTGCTCATAAAGGGATGGACATGGTCAGCAGCAATACTCAGGTAGGCTGTGGCGTTGATGCTCAATTGGTACTAATGGAGCCAAAGAAAATCTCCCCCACACCATTACACCACCACCAGCAGCCTGAACCGCTGATACAAGGCAGGATGATCCATGCTTTCATGTTGTTGAGGCCAAATTCTGACCCGATCATCCGAATGTGTCAGCAGAAATGGAGACACATCAGAGCAGGCGATATTTCTCCAATCTTCTATTGTCCAGTTTTGGTGAGCCTGTGTGAATTGTAGCCTCAGTTTCCTGTTCTTAGCTGACAGGAGCGGTTGTAACGAGTGCTTATTTGAGTTACTGTTGCCTTTCTATTAGCTGGAACCAGTCTGGCCATTCTCCTCTGACCTCTGGCCTCATCAACAAGGCATTTGCGCCCACAGAACTGCCGCTCACTGGATATTTCCTCTTAGTCGGAGCATTCTCTGTAAACCCTAGAGATGGTTGTGCATGAAAATCCCAGTAGATCAGCAGTTTCTGAAATACTCAGACCATATGAAATAAAAACAACCATGCCACGTTCAAAGTCTCTTCAAAGTCCCCTTTCTCCCCCATTCTGATGCTTGCTTTGACCTGCAGCAGATCGTCTTGATCATGTCTACACGCCTAAATGCAGTGAGCTGCCGCCATGTGATTGGCTGATTAGACATTTTTGTTAACAAGCAGTTGGACAGGTGTACCTAATAAAGTGGCCGGTGAGTGTATAAGAAAGTCAATTATGAACTTGTGTCATATATGTAATTTTGCATATATTGCCACATATCAGAATTCTATGTGGGTTGTCATATAGCAACAGAGGGATCACATTTGATTGATTTTCAGAATTTTTTCTGTGTTTTGCAAAGAGATCGAACGTCTGAGTATTAATAAATGTGAATGTGAGATCGATAAAGCACACAGCAGTGTAAAGTATGCAGATTCCTCAGTAAACCGCAGCTCTGACACGCTGCTTCATGGAATGTGTGATTGTTTATTCACAGTCATTTCCTGTAAGTTTGTGTAAAATCAGCTGTGTGTGTGGATGTAGTGAATCCTGCAGGAGCTGCAGAAGTTCACTCACTCTGGCTGATTCTGAGGTTTACATTTAAGCCATAATAAGTTACATACAGGGTGGCTCACAGTCGCCTCACAGCAAGAAGGTTGCTGGTTTGAGCCTCAGCTGGGTCAGTGGGTGTTTCTGTGTGGAGTTTGCATGTTCTCCCCGTGTTGGTGTGGGTTTCCTCCGGGTGCTCCGGTTTCCCCCACAGTCCAAACACATGCGCTATAGGGGAACTGATCAACTACACTGGCCGTAGTGTATGAGTGAGTGTGTGAATGAGTGTGTATGGGTGTTTCTCAGTACTGGGTTGCGGCTGGAAGGGCATCCACTGCTTAAAACATATGCTGGAATAGTTGGGGGTTCATTCCGCTGTTGGATCCCATGATGAATAAAGCACTCAATTATTAGCTCTCCTATTCACCGTATATAGTAGGGACCTTTGAATAGGTTACAGATTTTCACCATAACATATTTTATGTTTTAATCATCATATTTTTTTATATGGGCATCCACACTCAACATTTGGGATTAAAAATATAATTTTAAAACAATTTTTTTTAAATGCCCCAACTTTGGGCTTGTCCATTAAATAGTAGAGTTTTCTTTTGTGTTCAACAGAAGAAATGTGGAAATAATGACAGAATTAAAGTGATGACAACGTTACTTTAACTTAAATTAGAATCTTAATCTGGCATCAGAGAGATTTTACCTTGCTCCTTTAAGTCAGCCTAATTGATGCAAGTTAAAATTACTCGGTTTACCTTAAGTGAGCAACATAGTTTTTACAGTGCATGATGTCTCCATTTTGGAAGAAACCCATGAGTTAATTTTCAGTGAAGGACACTGCTCAAACGCATTTTTTTTACAACCGGGCACATTCTGAAAATGTAGTCCCGTGGACATTTCTGGAGACCCAAAATACATCCCGGGAGGTATGTATTTTTGCAGTTTTTGTTTTCGCAAATCCACAAGAGGCCGCTGTGTGCGCTTTTTTGGATCTCAGATTTCTCTGGTGAGTGCCGTTTGCTGTTCTTGCGTGAACCCACAAGAGGGCTCTGTCGGCCGACCGTCTGTCTGACTGACTGAATGATTGACTGGGCGACCGGCCAATCAACTGACCCACCTTCTTCCTTCCCTGAACCCAACCAATTTTACAGATTGACCCGCCCGCCCGCTTACTTCCCTAAACCCAACCGACGATTTACAAAAGCCGTCCAGAAAAAGAAAAGCCCTCGTCTGATTTTTACCGTGTTTTCGGGTTTTACCACATTCTCACCCTGTTGTTCACTCGTTCATTTTATTTTTTGATTCTGTTTTTGTCTTACCTGATATCTGAGACTGCTCTTCCCTGGATTCAAACCCAGTCTTTGTTGTGGTCAACTTTTCTCTGCATTGCAAGTCTGCCGACGTACACAACGAGCTAACTGGACAAACTGGTTGAGGTGGGAAAGTCCTCCACATGGAGGTAATCGCTCAGCCGGTAAGCGCCAAATGAAACGGCGTCACACCGCCCCGTAGCGTTCGCTTAAAGAAATGAAATGCAGCCATACATACCTCCGGCTACATAATTCACGCTCTCCAGAAACATCCACAGGACTATGTTTTCAGAATGAGCCTGGGTTAGTTTTAGTCCAACCTCTCAAACCTTTTATTCATGCATTCAATCATTTTCCTTCGCCTTGGTCTCTTATTCATCAGGGGTTGCCACAGTGGAATGAACCGCTAACTATTCCAGCATATGTTTTACACAGCGGATGACCTTCCAGCTGCAATCCAGTATTGGGAAACACCCATACACACTCATTCACACACACACACACACACACACACACACACACACACACACACACACACACACACACACACACACACACACTGTGGGGGAAACTATTATTCATTCATTTTCTTTTCAGCTTAGTCCCTTTATTAAACAGGGGTCGCCACAGAGGAATGAATCGCCAACTTATCTAGCATATGTTTTACACAGCAGATGGCTCGAACCAGTGACCTTGCTGTGAGGCGATCGTGTTACCCACTCCACCACCGCGACGCCCTAGTAAGTGAGAGATCTGACCTCATATAGAGCTCCTTTTCCTCCAAACCCGCAGAGCTCTGGAATATTTGATTCATTTCATACAGCAGAGATTCCTTTCTGTCCACAAATGGAGCTGTTTAGCTTCGCAGCATTTACACTATCACTCATTTTCTTTTCAGCTTAGTCCCTTCATTAATCAGCGATCACCACAGAGGAATGAACCGCCAACTTATCCAGCATATGTTTTACGCAGCGGATGCCCTTCCAGCTGCTACCCATCACTGGGAAACAGTCATACACTCTTATTCACACTCACGCCAACACGGGGAGAACATGCAAACTCCACACAGAAACGCCAACTGACCCAGCCGGGACTTGAGCCAGCGACCCTCTTGCTGTGCCACCCCTCGCTCACCTTTTATTTATAACATAATGATCTAACACAGGCATGTCCAGACTCGCTCCTGGAGGGCCGGTGTCCTGCAAAGTTTAGTTCCAACCCCAATCAGACACACCTGGGCTAGCTGATCAAGCTCTCACTCGACTTTCTAGAAGCATCCTTGCAGGTGTGTTGAAGCAAGTTGGAGCTAAAATCTGCAGGACACTGGACCTCCAGGACCGAGTTTGAACACCCCTGATCTTACATAATGAAATTCACCATTTAAAGAACATAATTGAAGTATAAAATCTCCAAAGTGGGAGATTTGACGTCTTCCTCCAAACCCTCAAAGCTCCGCAATACACCATATTCCTGTGTGTCCACAAATGGAGCTGTTTCGCTTTCAGAGCATTCACACTATTAATAACATCAAGTTCCTTTGTTTGGTCTCATCACATAAAAAACTATTCTTTTTTTAAATAAATATTTTTTATTCTGTTATTGGCTTTTACACGTATAAATCAGACATTATGTTATGGTTTTATCAAAATAGTGGAAAAAATACTGATGTTACATAAGTAACAAATGTAAAAAATAAGAAGTTCAATCTTCCGCTGAAAGTAAGAACCTCATTTCCAGCATATGAAAAATATCCATAAAAACGCAGATGGACCTTTAAGTTAATAAACAGTAAAAAACAAACAAAAACAAAAAAAGAACAAGTAGAAACAGTACACTTTTAAAAACATCGAGCAAAAATAAAACAACAGAGAACATCGAATTCCAAAGAGCTTCCTCATTAATACAAAAGAAAATGTACACGAGTTCATAGTTTGTTCGTAGTAGCAGGCCGAGCGTGTTTGTATAAAACCTGCAATAAAAACAACCGTTCAAAGTCACAGTGTCCACGCGTGCTTCCAAACGTAAATCCTCAAATATCCAGAAGGCAGAGGTCTGATTAATCTCATATCTGGAGCTTTTGTTGTTTTAGACGGCAGCTAGTTATTCAGGATGAGAAACACCCGTTCTTGGCGGACGTTGTCTTTCTCTTTTGGCCGGAGCATGAAGAACCGGAGCCAAACACAGCTTCACACCGAGCTCATGGAAGTGTTTCCTAGAGGTCAAAGCTGTAACACACGGGAAAATCAGCCAGATGGATTGAGCCCAGAGTCCAGGAGGGTCACGCTGACCCCTAACTTTATTTCCGAACTCTGATTTCAGCCAGAACAGACCAAACTCATTCACTTCATGTGTGTTTTTGCAGCTCTCCATGCTGCTTCCACTTCCAGACGTTGTGTGTGTGTGTAGTAGGAGTTGGACGACTATTGGTTCACTGTTTAGACTCTCAGCATCTGTGATCAATGTTAAATGAATTCATGATGTGATCTGGGACTGACAGATGAAAGGCGGGGCTAAAAATAAACCCCGCCCCCACTTGATATTCCATTTAAGTTGGAAATAGATCATCAAATTAAAATTAAAGTCTGCAGAAACTTGAGATTTTTAAGTGCCAGCGACTTTTCTGCATGAAAGTGATTAAGCGGGGGTGTGTACACTCTTTTTCTGATTGATAGCTATGTGATGCCTCCAAGACGGATATGAATCCGATCACGCAAACCATTGCTTGTCTTCGATTCTCTTAGTAAATTACAAACACAATTGGCCAACACTGTACATAAAGATTATGGCATGCAATTACAACAAGATGCACCTTTGCATGACTAGTCACACAGAACTTAACAGCGAAACGAAAACATACGCAACCCCTTGTGTGTTTCAGTATTGCACTATTGTGAAGAGTGTCCGATGCTCGTCTCTTTTAAATCAGTGCTCTGCCTTGCTGCATTTAAGTTCGTCTTATTATCTGAAATCTGTGATGCCTTTCTCCACTCGTCTCATACGTATTGCTCGGCTTCGCCTTCATTCAGGATAGTGATGGAGCCGTCGCCGCTCTTCATTTCGATTTCTTTAGCAGCAGAGTTTTCCGGCAGCAGTGCTAAGTCTTTAAAAACATCAACGTAGTGGGTGAACCCCGGACCCCAGTTCAGCAGGTTGTCCCAGTTGAAGTTGTTGGACCCTTGGCCCAGTTTGTGTGGTAAAGTGTGGTGCTGGTACTCCGACATGGTGTTGTGTCCACTAGCCGGTCCGCCCTCAGCTCGCCGACTCGAGTATCTCCGCTGCCGCATTCTTCCTCCATGATCTTCATCATCAGCATCAGATTCGTTAACCTGCGAGAGCTTAGGCATTCGAGAACTATAGGACACCGGTTTCTCCCGATCGTACTCCATCTCCGAGCAAGTAAAGGAGTCATGGGAGTCACTTTCAGAGGATGATTCCGGAGCCGGGATGCCGTCTGCTGGGTTTCGGACACGGGATAGAGGACGCCGGCAGTCTTCTTCAGACGACGAGCGTCCGTGATCGGCACTGCATATGCTGGGGTTTCTGGGACGTGGAGTGTTTAGGCGCTCCACCTCTTCTATTGATAACCCAACAGGAGGGCCACTTTCCAGTGGGATTTGCTCGATTGGTTGCTTAAGGCGACTTCCAGGACGAGATCCCATCGTTTGAGGACTCTTGCTGCGCCGACCTAAACGTGTGGCATAGTTGAACATACCTGGCTGGCATGGGTCGCTGTGGAAATCCAGAGGACTTCCTTCACGGCGTGCCAGGTTGAGTTCACGAGTCGGAGTGTTTCGGTAGAAGGAGGATGGTTTGGTGAAGGGCGCAGGGCTGTGGCGGGACAGGGGATTAGGTGTCGGGCAGGCTGAATGGCTGAGCGGGGTGGAGCGTAGGCCGGGGGTGTATGTGGGTTGATAGGTGTAACTGGTTGCACCGAGTGGAAGCGGGGACTGCCGAGCAAATCCCAGCGGACTGTGGCGCTGGATGGAGAACTTGGGTGTGTGGCTGCGGTAGTGTTTGTAGTGCTGGATGATGTCGGCGTCTGATGGAGCGATGCTGCTGGCGTTGTCGATATCATAGTGCTCCATATCTGCATCCGGAGCACACGGAGCACAGGGAGCACTGGGAATGGTCTCGTTGTTGTGAGGAATGTCCGTTTCGTCATAGATCAAATACGGGTTCTCCCGCTCGATAATATCAGGTTTGGGGTTTCCCTCGGGCTGCTTCCGAACAGTCATGTCATCTCCGTAGGGTGGAATGTTATCAGGATCATCAAACGCCACATTCTCGCTACCTTTCTTTTTCTTCTTCTTCTTCTTCTCCTTGGTTTTCTTCTCCTCTTTTGGCACTTTGGTTTTCTTGCGCTTGCCCTTGCAGTGGTTGCACAGTATGAGACTCAACACCACCAGAGCTAGGACTGTTGCGCAGCTGCCCACGATTGCAGGAACCGCCCAGATTGGCAGAACCATCTCTTCAGATGTGGCACTGGGACTGCATGTGAACCCGCCGTTGGCTCCCAGTTTGCAGTCGGTTCCCTGCGGACATCGGACCCCCAGACAGGCAACCAGGCTTTCGCACACCCTTCCGGTGTAAAACTCCTCACACACGCAGCTGAAGCCTCCGCGGACGCCAGGAACACAACTCCCACCGTGCTGGCAGGGGTTTGAGGTGCAGTCTCCCGGCGGGACACACTGGTAGGTGTACCACTGGTTCACACACATCAGCCCGTCCCAGCATGGACTGCTCTCGCACAGGTTTGGGCCACGGCAGCCGATTTTCACAGATGGGTCCGTTTTGGAGATGGAGACGGTCCTGTGTTCACCACTGAAGGGCAGCATCTCTCCGTTATACTTCACATAGGCATAACACCCATCAAAACCTGGAAAGACAGAGAGAAAGATATTAAAGTACAACCTAGAGTAACTTAAAACAGGCAAAATAATCTGCCAATGGGAGACGCAAAATAGTTTTGTTTTGACTTAGAGGGTCATGAAACACCAGAACACATGTGTTGAGCTGTTGACAGTGGTATATGTGTCCCACACTGCTAAAAACACTATTAGGACACCTATATTTCACTAAAAAGTGTAAATTGGTTGTTTATGCGTTATTTCGAGCAAATTCGTACTTCCGGTTTGAAACGAATTTTTGAAGCTGCGTCACGGTCATGACATAATAGCGTGTATTCCAGCGTGCAGACTGGACGTCTGTGCCGGAGTGTGTCTTATTACGTCTTACAGTGTGCTGCATTAATGCATGAGTAAAGCTTGGTTCAAACCAATCAGCGCGCTCTATTGTGCAACTTCATTAATATTCATTACTGTCACAGTGTTTAGACGACAGAGACGCCACGTTGTGTTGGCAAAACAAGCGTGAAGTGTTGCTTTTATAGTTTGCTGCAGTGAAGTTTTGTTTTCATTTTCTCTCTGTGAGAGCTCAGCTGGAGTCACGTGTGGATTAACAGTGTACGCGACGCGCGACAACAATAACTTACGTGTCTAAGGAGTATTATTGTTTACCTGAGAGCTGTTCTCATCTGCAAACGCTGAGATCCGGATTCGCTGCTCGTCTCCTCTTAATAAAGACGCGGCTCTAGTTGCTGGTGATTGTTCTGTCTCTACAGATTTGGTAAGTGAGTGACCAGTGCTCTTTGTTTATTCAGTTTGTTCGTATCGAACTAAATATTGCACAGAGTGTAAACATGTTAGCACCACAACCAAACTTTAACCTCGTGTAGGATTATTACCGCATTTAGTGACCGGAATAACACACGCGGCTTTCTGACGCTACCTGCCGTGTGCATCTAAGTTCCCGGCAAATGCTGAGTTTTTTTTCTCTCATTCGCCGTGCGGTATCAAACATTGCATGAAAAATACACGCTTAGAGCAGTTCCTCCAATCAAATATCTCGTTTGTTGCGAGGGAGATGAATGAATTCCCTGAATGAAAGAGCCAAACTGCAGTTAAAGTCCAACATTTAATAATTTGGCGAATAATTCGACTACAGATGTGCATGTAGACACAGTCACTTTCTCCCCTGTGTGTGTGTGTGTTTTGACTCTAAAATTCAGCGCGCCCAAATAGACACTCCCACAACATGCCTCTATTCTTCCTCTGACACTCCCCCTAAACAGAGCTGGACACGCCCACTTTTCTGACTTTTTCTAAAGTAGAGGTGTGAAAACACCCTGCTGAAACGAGGGGGTTTCATGGCCCTTTAAGATTTTAAGGATTGCTAGATATTTGGACTGGAATGAAGACAACAAAGGGCGAGAAAATCATGTTTGCAGTGTACAAACACTCAACACAAAGACTCAATGAAAACAACTGCTCACTGTGGATTATCCGCTTTTCTATTCTCCTCATTTGTAAGTCGCTTCAGATAGACGTGTCTGCTAAATAAAGAAATGTTCACTCAGTCTATGTTTAGGTAGATTTCTGGACAGAATAACCTTCACCAGTCAATCGCTTGGCTGAATACTAGACTAGAGCCTCCCCAACATGACAACGAGTTAAGATTGAGTTGAAGAAATGGACATTGCTTAGTTTAACGCTACGCAGGGAGACATTTTGTTTGGTTTTCTGATTGCTGTAGCATCAGCCAGCACAGAGCAGAATCCCCCCGCTGGGAAATACATCAACAAATTGTCATTTTTACATTAGGAGGAAAAGAAACAGACTCTTCCCTTCAACACAAAGTATCGCGCAACCCAAAAATGCAACCTTTTCAGAGCACGCCATCTGGGAAAAATCTCAACGTCATTGATTTAAACCTGCGCTATCATGTTGCCTAACATCGAACCGTCAACAATGCAAATCGATGTTTATTAAATTTATTTATGCCCATTCAGAGAACATTTGGTTCTGTTTATTAGAGCGGGGGAAAGCAGATAGCAGTTGTATTTCTCATTCTCTCTTTCCTTCAGTTCCTAAATCCAGAAATGGCATGACCTGCACAGAACGTGTTTACCTTGAGATAGTTTGGATAATTGTATTTGATTTCCTGACTTATGCCAGTAGAGAAGTGGGTTTCAACCCAGCGGTTCAGATATTTGACCATATATGAACATCAGTTGATCTTTTAGCTTAGAGGTTTATTCATTCATTCTTCCCTTTACTTGTCAGGGGTCACCACAGCTGAATGAACCTACAACTATTCCAGCATACGTTTTACACAGCTGATGCCCTTCCAGCTGCAACCCAGTACTGGGAAACACACTCATTCACACACACACTCATACACTACGGCCAGTTTCGTTGATCAGTTCCCCTATAGCGCATGTGTTTGGACTGTGGGGCACCCGGAGGAAACCCACGCCAACAAGGGGAGAACGCCACCTGACCCAGCCAGGACTCAAACCAGCAACCTTCTTGCTTTGAGGCCACATTGTGACAACACTGAGCCACCAGGATGTCCCAAGACACTCAATTTTCTTTTGAAACTTACTACACTGTAAAAAGCGATCAGTTCACCTTACTTTAAAGAGTAATCCCATTGCCTTAAAATTATTAAGTGGACAAACTTAAAACAGCAGAATTAATCAACGCGTCCATTTTAAGGGAATGGATTTACTCCCTTTTTTTGAAGCAATAGTAGGAGATCTTCTCAGGCCGAAGCTCTGAGCAGGAGATTTCCTCCAGGACCTGAGTGAACACATCTTCCTCAGAGTGTCTGGAGCGCTAATACAGATTGCAGTCTTATCGCAGCTCAGCGGTGCGTCTTTCTCCCTCTGCGAGGGTCTGAAGTGGGACTGTTTTTAATGGACAGTCGTTCTGCTCTGTGAAAGTTCAGACATGCTTTCCTGTTGGCCGTCCGCTGTCTAACCTAGTTAGCGCACAAACACACACACACACTTTCTCTGAACTCTCTCCTGTCACTTTCACTCGCAGACGAAAAACACTCCCAAGTTTTGATTGGGGCAGAGATGTGGACGGCTGTGCCAGAAGATGACGCATCCGCTGACCGCTCACATCGCTGGAGACTGTTTAGTTTATACTGAACACGCTGTTGTGTTTGTAGCTACACTTCCATGCATCTGGCTTCATGAGCATTGTGGAATATCACAGAAGAACTCATTATTTCTGAAAACAAGACAATGTTTTCTATTCGTCTAGAAAATGCTTCTTGATTTAAGTATTTGTAGATCTTTGGAAGCAAGACACAAGCTCAGCATGTTTAGCAGTGTGAATGCAGAGAGTGTGTGTGTGTGACTGACCCGGGCTGGTCTTCTGCTGGGTCGCCCGCACCGGGACGCCGCCCAGAGACAGTGTGTGTACGTCGATTCCCCCGAAATCCTGTGTGTTGTGCAGAATGAGCTTGGAGCTGGAGCGGTCGATGCGCAGGACGGTGGAGGAGCCGTTCCTCTGCAGCAGCAGTGTGTGCCACTGACCGTCCGACAGCAGAACGTCCGAAACCGTGCGCTCCACTTTACCTGCGACTCCCGCGTCAGACACATACTGCAGCAGGCCACCCTTCAGCTGAACACACACACACACACACACACACACACACACACACACACACACACACACACACACACACACACACACACACACACACACACACACACACACACACACACACACACAGGTTTGTTTTTGTGAATTGTAAGGACATTACGTAGGTTTCCATTGATTTTATGGCACAATATATACAAGAAAACACACACACAAGTTTGTTTTTGTGAAGTGTGGGGGCGTTGCATATGTTCACATTGATTTTGTCACAAAAACTTGTACACAAATAAGCAAAATCATCTGTCAGTGGGGTGAGAAAACTAAAAATGTTATATCAAAAACTAAAAATCAAGATTATTTTGGTTGTTTTGATGTAAAACTTGCTATATTTTGACTCATCATTTCTAAAAACAAGAATATATTTTGTGCTTGTGTAGAACTGGCGGTTCCCAAACTTTTCAGCCCGCGACCCCCAAAACAGCAATGCCAGTGACTCGCGACCCCCGATATCCTCAGAGGTGGTTATAAATACAGAAACCTAAGAATAAAACACCCAAGTCCATTCTTCGTTTAATTTTTTAATGTATATCAGCGCTGTAAATGTGCCAGATAGTTTAACATGGTGTTAAAAACATCAATCCGCTGCATGTGATGCTATTGCTGTGTCTTTATTACAATGTAATTACCCCAGGAGTCGCAATCCAATAGAACTAGTAACTATAAGCTACTATAGTAACTCAATACAGCAATATATAGTAACTATAAACAACTATTTTATTTGGATATTTTTTTTTTTAGAAATCCCCCTTCATTGTTCTGCGACCCCTCGGGGGTTCCCGACCCGCACTTTAAGAACCGCTGGTGTAGAAAATGCTTTTTGATTTAAGGAGTTTTAGATATTTGGACTAGAAACAAGACGGAAACTGTAAGTAAGCAGAGCTTTTCTGCATGTGATAATCAGATATGGAAAACTAATCTCTCCATTGAAACCGCAGTGAGACTCTGATTTAAGCATCCAAGAAATCTGGAAATGGAAAAAGTGTCCTGCCAAGAGGAGCGACCTGAAGTGATGTTCGGGATGAAGATCTACAGCGAGCGGCTGCTGTCGGTGTGTCTGTGTGTGTGGAGAAAAGTGGCTCTCTGCGGCCTCACTCTTCACCAGGACGTCTCATCAGACAGATCTGAAGGCTGAATTCTACTTCTGCATCCACTGATCGCTATAAGTGCATGTGCATGTACTGTAGCTGAGCAGCTATACTTTGTGCTGCTCTTACAGTGCTCTAGCGGGGGGAGTCGAGGGTGTATGTTTTTGTTTACACTGGAAATGCATACAATGCCACCCCAACCCTAAACCTTCCCCTCACAGAAACATAAAAGTAGGAATTCAAGAGTTTACACTTATATATTGCTTGACTATGTTAGCAGGTTTGGCATGCTGTCCCGGGAGAGAACCCTGAGCTCAAAGGTAGCTGAGCATGGTCAATTAACCGCATCAACAGAACAGCACAGATTCTGCTTCATGCTTTAAAAAAAAACATAAATAAAGGCTTTAAATGCTTAATAATTCAAATTATGCATAAGCAAAAGTCAATTTTCATGATTTTACTGCAGTCAGGCTTTGAGGAGGTGTAAATGCACAGAAATTTAGATGTGACGCCATTTAACCCAATTATTGATTTTCATTGTCATGGAGGCCAGAATTGAAACTATATTTTGATTAATTGCACAGCCCTGGTTATAGTGGACTCATAGCGAACTTGACTTTAAGTAACTTTTCTTTAAAGTGTACAAGTTTACAATAGTCCAGCAGTGAAGAGATAAAGGCATGGGCAATCATCTCCATCTCTTCTTTTGAAATATATTTAATGAAGCTAAAAGAGCACATGTCACTCCGCTGCTCATCCGTTTGCACTGGCTGCCAGTTGCTGCTCGCATCAAATTCAAAGCTCTGATGTTTGCTTACAAAGCGACTTCTGGCTTTGCTCCTTCTTATCTGCTCTCACTTCTGCAGATGTATGTGCCCTCCAGAAACTTGCGTTCTGTGAATGAACGTCGCCTCGTGGTTCCATCCCAAAGAGGGAAGAAATCACTTTCCCGAACTCTCGCATTCAATCTGCCCAGTTGGTGGAATGAACTCCCTAACTGCATCAGAACGGCAGAGTCACTCGCTGTCTTCAAGAAACCACTAAAAACTCAACTATTTAGTCTCCACTTCACTTCCTAATCTGCAATTGCCTCTCTGGATATACCACTAACTGTACCCAAAAAAAAATACTGATGCTTTCCTTCTTAGACTTTACAGACCTGAAACTTGCCTACAGCACTTCTTCATTGTTGCTCTTAGTTGTGTAAATTGCTTCCTTGTCCTCATTTGTAAGTCGCTTTGGATAAAAGCGTCTGCTAAATGACTAAATGTAAATGTAAATATCTCTGTATAGACTGGCATGACTGGTTTGTCATTCTATTGTAGTATGTTTGGGTACCACACCGTAGACCTGCATCCATGCACACACACTCACTCACCCGCAGTGTGGTGTAGTTGTAGCTCTCCTGCGCGTGCAGCAGTGTCCCCGATGCGCTGCGGGTGCGAAACTTGAGCTCCAGACTGCTGTGCTGCAGGACGCTCCGGCCGGGACCCTGCAGCGCTCGCTCCAGCAGCACATCCCTCTTACGGCTCTGACTCAAAGCGTAATCCAGCCGTCCAGAGCCGTCCAGAGACAGAGCCGTGTCTGCGCTGATGTCTGAAAGACACACACACAACTGAGGTTATAAGAGGGACATAATACAGGGGTGGTCTAATGTTGTGGACCCTTTCTGTGTTTCTCCACAGCAGAAGTCATCATAGTTGGTAAAGTCAGAGAGCAGTGAATGGGAGAGTAGAACAAAACATTAATTTTACAATAATATTTGCTGAAATAATAAGAGAAAAACTCCAGGATGGGGTTATCGAGACTTTCAGAAAGAGGAAAGAAATAATGTGAGACTGATCACCAACCCAGGCTAGTTCTGAAAACATACCCCTATATATATTTCAGCACCAAATACATCCAGGAGCTACGTTATTTTGCAGTTTTTGTTTTCGTGAAGCCGCTGTGTACGATTTTTCAGATCTCAAACT